AAGATCTGAAAACTGAGGAGGAAAACAGAAGAGTGCCATCACATCATGTAGCACACAAACTCCCATGTAGCTATTAAAAAAAAAAATAATTATTCAGCATCTTTAGTACAGAGAACTTAACGGCTCTCCCACTCCAAAATCATGTCAGTGAAATTAATGAAATCTCTTCCTGCGCTATCTTTGCTTTGCATAATACGGTGAACTGAACAAAGGTGGAGGGTGCCCATGACATTTAGGTCACACAATTCTGCACAGCTTCAACGCACCTGAGAGAAACACCAACTCTATTCCAATCACAGATGAACAGATGGATAGAAGTCACTGCATTATAAACCATTTAACACACGTAGCTACTAAATCCTCACAAACACAAATGGACAAACAGGGGTTTTGTAACAGTTCCTGAAGTTTTACAACAGTTCATTATAAAAATAACCCATACATAAACACAAGGCCCAAATGATGAGGTTTTAAAAATGTTTTTGATTAATCAATTGTTCATCATTTTTAAGCCTAATTAAAAAGTTCAAGATTTAAAAAAAAAAAAAAGCACATCTTTGTTTAAACTGAGAATATGCTGTACTCCAAAACTTAGAGTAAGAACACACTCATGTCAAAATTAACTGGACTTTTAAAAGATAAAAACACATCTATCAATTGTTGACATTTACTTTAAACACTTCTTGGTGATAAATATTTGCTTCTTATTCCATTAGATGACAAAGATGTGTAATCCATGGGGGGGGTGAGGGGGGGACGGGTGGGGAAGAGAACAACAAACAAAAAAAATTCACTGTATTTTTAAACACAGGTTTCTTCCAGATTAAAGAAAAATGATACAGTGCCTCTGGAGTACACAGCCAGAACATTCATTTTCATTTACTTTTACATCGTTTTCATCTACCAGAACCTATGAGAAAACCAGCCTCTGTCCAAATTTTTAAGATAGTCGCACAGTAAAATGGTTTGTTTATAAGTTTGATAGGTCATGCTATTATTCATGCTTGGTGGTTTCTTTCTTTCAGAAAACACTTCTGGTAAAACGGATGCATTCATGTATTCAGTGAGTAACTACTACACAAAAGACTTCTAAAACACGCAGACAGCTGGGTACTTCAAATTTCTAGAAGCCACACTTTAGAAAGAAAACCTTTCTTTGAAAAACCACACGTATACCTCCTGATGTAAACTGCTTGGCTGCATGTGTACTGCAATACACAGGTTACCCATATAGCTCTGATGTTTCAAAGACAGAAAGAGAAAAGAAAGGTTATCCAAACCTGAGAGTTATTCAGTTAAGAGCACTGTTGGTAAGGAGTTTCACAACTGTCAGAGGAGCTCTCCAAAAGCTCTTCCAAATCAGAACTTCTTAACTAAGACTATAACTAAGATAATTATACAACAAAATGATCTCTGGTTTGAAACAGTGACTCCTGGTTACAGTGAGGACCTATTTAAACATCATTCGCATATTGTGTTAAAAATACGAGGATATTTTCTTCTCAATCAGAAAAATAAAGAGAAAAGAGATGGGCGATGATTAAGTCAATTAGACCTTACAGACAGCGCTTACAATTAACATTTTGGCATTGCTTGAGTGGGTTTAAGTTACCAGAATAGAGCAGCTTGGCCACAGTGTTAACCTTGGTAGACTGCATGTTTGCTGTTTTAAGACCTTTCTGCTTTTTCACTTCCATTCAAATGTGTGTTCAGTAGTGGGTCACACCTGGGCTTCTTCATTCTAAAAAAATTTTTATATTTTTTACTTAGGATTTAAATGAAGGCCCCAATCCAGATCTCCAGAAACCGAAGATTCCAAGTTAATTAGCTGATGTCCCTTCCCCATTTAAATTCTGAGAGGATCAGTGGCATTCATTTTCCCCAGAAGATCCCCTCGACCACAACAAAGTTAGAGCAGAAAAGACACACTCTAACATATGCATTCAGAACAAGAGAATAATCACTTTTGACAGTTATTAGTATCTATGGGGTAAAATTACAAGTTAAATGAAAAAACACTATTTCTTAGTTGGTTGAATAAGGATGTCAAAAATATAACATTAATAAAAATAGTAAGTCACTTATTAGTAAGCCTACTAGCCTATTTTAATTTGATTTTTACACTGGTAATTCAATAGTAGACAATTCTGTTCTTGCTGGCTTTTATCTTTAATTGTGCAAAATTACTTTATGAACACCACTTTTAGAACTGCAGTCCAGTGAATACATCAGGCGTTGATATTCGTACTATCATCCCCATGTAAAAGGACATGAATTATTTTTTTCCACATTTCACTTCAGAACAAAATCAAAAAATTTCACAAAAATTAGAGATTCAGTATCTCTACATGCTTTCCATTCATAAATACTATATTTTAAAAACAACACTTTGCAGACCATTAACTGCATCTATAAATTGGATGAGCATTTTCAATTTTCTCAAAAGCAAAAGAAAGAATCAGGTAACAGTTGCTCAAAGAAAAGAGAGAACATGCCTTACTGCACATGCAAAAAGTAACATACAACTGAAGATCAAATGAAGCCACACTGTTAAGTTGGAAAAAAAAACAACCTTCTAGACCATTACTGGAACCAGGAACTGGCCTCCACACTTCTGTATAATTATTTTGCAAGAACAGAAAGGCAGTACACTCGTATTTTTTAAACTGCCATACGTGATTAAATGCTCTCTGAAAACAGCCAGCAGAGAGCAAACAATGCCTTTATATAAATCTTTAAACTAAATTCTGAATATAACCACAGGACAATCCCATATCCAAAGTCAGCTAAAGCCCAACTATAAACACGATTTAGTTTTGTTTTCTGGACACAAGGTGACAGATGGGAGTCGTACTGAAAACCTGTTGTTTAGTCTCAGTCCATAAGGGCTGAATTACTCCATTCGCAGCCCCTCGTATTTTACAATCAATCGAGATAGCTTTGAGCAACTCAAAGTCACTCAGAATTCTGTCACAGACGATGAAAGCAAGCTGATGGGTGCTGTAACTTTTGCCTTTTCCTGCTGAAGAAAACAAGTCTGCACAACAGACCTATTCTTCTTCATCACTTCCTTTATTAATAATTTAATTTCTGTGACATCTTGCAGGCTAGCTCGCTTAGCATTCCTTCTGTGCAAGTGGTCCTCTCTCATCTTCGAGAGGGCAAGAAGAGGTGGGTGTGGGGGATTACTAATCTGATTCTCAAAGCATTCATCAATCTCAGAGAGATTTTTAATGGATGAGCGTTCTAAAGGTCTGAAGAAAATCAGATCTGAAGACATTAATGGATTAGCCATTTCTTCAAAATTTACATATACAACAATGGCAGAAAAGGCCAACATCACATTTGTCTGCAAATCTGTGCCTAACAGCCAAGTCAAAAAGGGCATTATACAATAAATACCCTCCTAATGTTAGAGACTTTGTTCCTGGCATAGCTGACAGAGCTGTATGAAATATTAACAGATTCCACAAAGAGTACATTTTATATGGATTTTCACATCGAAATATCAGCACTATCTGCAATCCAATTATTTTTTTGAGAGGAACTCCTCCGACAGTCTCCATCTGCTTTAATTCCCCATTGACCCAAAAGGAAATACCCTTTGGAAGCAACTCTATCTCACAGCATACAAACAGGTCAGAACCTAAAGGCTCTTTATAATACGCATACATTGTATGAGTATCCATAAAAGCTGAAGAAACCTAGGTTCAGATGCCTTAGAACAACATTTTCAGAAACAACCTTTGGTGCATGAGACTTTCAGTAGACTGATTTCTGAAGCATTCCAAGTATCAAAGTTTTACAGCATCTCACCGAGTTGTTGGTTCTGAAATCTTTGAATTCACTCTTAAATATTTAGTTTCAGGCTATCCTGAATCAATCCTTACCACTAACCCTAACCTGTTCACACCCAACGTGCTTTTACCAATGGCTGCAGATCATGCAGAAGAAACTGAATCACTCCTAAATTAGAGCCCTTCTGCTCCAGTGTGAGAGATCAGAAAGACAACACATTTACCTCTGAAGTACAAAGGTCACCTCCTAAATGCAATCTGCTGCAATAACTTCCTAAAGTAACTTACTCTTCTCTGGTACATGAATGTAAGTATGAACTACCACATCCAGAATAACACTTAAGTAAATACTCAATAACTATGTTTTTAAAAGTAATTAGGAAAATTATTAAATTGAAGTCTAGGATTCAAATTACATTTGTGTACAAAAAAACCCCACTGACACTTTCAAACAAACATAAAATACAATTTATCAAGTGTTACTTTCACCTAAAACTCAGTGTCGCTTCTATCACCTTGTTTGTGATTAAAATATAGCAACTAACATTCATTTCAATGTTTCCAACCACATAAAATAGAATATGTTTATAAGGCAAATCTAAAATTCTTAGATTTCACTACATTTGATTTCTGTGTCCAAAACCTGAAGAATTTTCATAAAAATCTGACACTACACACTATCCTGTTAACATTTTGTTTTTAATATGAATTTCCTTATAAAAATTGTTTACAGTTGTTAAAATGTCTAGTTTACATAAGAATTATACAAGTGGACTCTCATAGTAAGTTGAAGGTGGACTAGTAGATTATTTCCCAGATAAGACCTTTATTGTCCTGAAATGCTGTTTCAACTTGGTGATAGGAAATCCTGCAGATTGCACGTGTTAATTTAAAGGGTTTAAAATATAAAGTTACACTGCTGCATTGGGGCATACTTTTTAACTTTTACAAGTAATTTTTATTAGCTGTTCTGCCTGAAAAACTAGTGAGGAAAAAGAAAAAAAAACAAACAAACAAACAAAAACACAAAAAACCCCCAACCAAACCGCTCAGATTCATTCACTCCTTTCTGATGCTTGCTCTACTGCTTAACGATTCAAGGTTGGACCCGTGATATGATCTCTGATGCTTCCAGTTGAATTTTAGTCCATTCCACCACCACATTTACTTTGCCCAAGTAGCCTTATAGTCAGATCAGCATACCTTCAGAGTTCAGCGTAATAAGCGTGACATTGTTCCCAATACTTTGGTTTCCTAATTGTCCGTTGTTGGAAACCGAGTCACTGGCCTCAGAGCCACTCTCTCCATCTTCATTGTGACTGTCGTCATGCCCTGGAACTTTCACCACTATGGTGTTCTGTCTACGCCCAGGAACAGCACTATGGAAAAGAAAAGTACTTCAAGCTTTGGAAAAACACAATCCTTGATCAGGAATAGCGTCATAAGGGACTTAAAAACACTAACTGACAAAATTAAATGTATTATAAAAGCATACTGCTTTAAACAAGCCTACTCCTGTTTATAACTCTGAGCAATCCAGAAAAATAAAACAGAACGAAAACAGCAGAAGAAATTTTAGATGTACACTTTCTAAATTTTCATCAATGGAAAAGTCTAAGCCCAGTGTGCAAGACAAAAAAATATTTAGATAATATTTTATAGAATCTGATTTTCTAGATTCTGGATAGAACATTTTCTACCCAGAATCTACAGTTCCACTTAATTGAAGATTTGCTCTAGATAGTACAAATTCTAACAAGTCTTCCTGGGCTGCTGTATATTCCTTCTTCAGTCGGCTAAATACAGGATCTTGGCATGTTCTCAAGTGATTGTGCATCTGTATAAAAAAAAAAAGTGTCCATAGCTACATATTTTTCAACTGTCAGCCCTTAACTAACATTGAACTAATCCCAGATCCTCCAAGATGTTCTCCCCCCAGCAAAAGCGAAACATCACTCTGTACCACTACTGCTGATACGAGGTTTCCCTAGGCAGAACTGTCAGCCTGATAAAATATTCAAGCACCAGTTCGCTGTTCTTCCCCCCACTATTACCTAGAACATTCCTCATTTTGCACTTCAAATTGCTGCAGAGACTGATACTGATCTGTCAAAGGAGGGAATGAGGAGGGAGGATTCCCGTAACTGCTACTAACTTGTTAAGGATATTTTCCAGAGAATCCGCTGCTCTGCTCAACGGCTCTTCCTGCCCAACCATCTTGGCTACAATTGAATTCTGCCGGTCGTTGTTCAGTATTACTGTGGTTTGAGGGACAACACTACAAGACAAAAATCAGAGAGGAAAATGGAATGTAAAGGAGCAAACCTTATAAATAATACATTAACACAGTCTTATGGTTTAAATAGTCTGCTTAAAAACAGAGACTGCCTCTAAGCCTTGCTCTTTCTCCCAGCATCGCGGTTATGTATCAAATGCTAAAGCTGGTAATCCATCGAATTTGACATCTGTACCATTTCAAGTACTCAATTTTTTTCAGAGGACAGATGGCTTCAATGGAATTATATAAAAGTCCACGACCCCTGGCAAAGCGGTAAAGAATTCATCAACTCAAGATACACAGAAGGAAGTCTGTAAATCACTGCTCCAAACAGCCACCAAATGCTTTTTTTGAAGTCTCAGAGTGTGCATTTTCAGAGATACTACAGCCAACTTACATGGTAATGCACCAGTTTTAGTAAGATAATTACTAGGGGGGAAAGAAAAAAGCGTAAAAGCATTTATTACAAAATCAGATGATTATCTTAGTTAAAGAGCATGTATTGTCTTCCAGGGCTGGGTGCTTGTGGAAAGCAGGGAGACGAGAGTGGTACTAGAGGCATGAGAGCAGAACAGGGACAGACTAAAATTTTAAATAATGACAAGACTAAACTGTTTCTTGTGTGTATTTCACATACAAAAAAAAAAATCTAAAACAAATAACAGAAAAACATTTAGTGTGTGAGAAACCAGAAAGCAATTTCAATCGTTTATGATGAGAATGTAGCAGGAAGTAACTAGAGAAGTGTTGCACAGAAAAACACACTAAGACTACACTATAATACAAAAGTAAACATGAAGTAAATAATTGTCTCCAGCGTGCAACTTATCATTTAATTTGGTTTCAGAGATTATTAACATAATTCCCACCCCATTACTCAATATTCTCAGGCATGGCTTTGATATTTAAGACTATTTCCCCTGTGTTCATGGTAAACTCAAGGAGAGAACTTAGAAGAAAATTTGTGGTTTAGTGACAGAGAAGGCTTTCTTCTTTCTCTTTGCTTCCCACAGTAAATAGTCCGCTATTGTTTTTACTGGTCCAACATCTCAAACATGACTGATGGTCATTTATTTTTCTTAACTGTATTCCTTGGCTAATTGTTCAAACACAAATTAAACAAATCTGATGACAGCAACTCTGTTTATTTCAGCTGTAATAGAGCGTCTGCTTGCTTGAATATCCAAAAGACTTTAAGCACTACAATATCCATCATTACGACCTAAAGAAAAGATAAGAAACTGTCATAAGAGCTAACAATAAATGGATTTCAACTTTGGCACAGATAAAATGGTTGACCACAGGTTTTTTGGACAGAAAAAGCCCCACAGCCTAAAGCCCTGCCTCTGTCTTGCAGTCACTCATCTGTTGCTAACACGCAGGATTCCTCCTGGACTGCCAACGATCTGCTGGACTGCCCACCTTGAGCAGCTCTGGAAGATGTTTGTCTAGTCACAGACAAGTACAGAGTGTACTAGAGCTTTTCATGTGCATGTGAACTTCAAATTATATTAAGCATTAGATGGGGGGTTTGCTGTTGGGGTTTTTTAGTTGCTGTCTAGAGTACAGGGTTTTACGATGCTTTCATAGTCACCTTTTCAAAATTTTCTCCATTATCAAGGGGGAAAAACCTGCACATCTTTCATTTTAAAAAATGGTAATTTCTGTCTATTTGCTCAACGCCACCACTGAACATTTTAAAAAACACCACACCAGGTACTCGATAAAATACTGATATGTGGCAATGCTGGCAGGCCCCCCAGTCTAGCAGCAGCACATGTTCTCGTTACATTTCCCAAATTGTCCAAATAGCTACATTTGAAGTTTTTACAGGCCAGTTTAAAATGTTCAAGAATTTTACATTTCCTTTTAGACACTGTTCTTTATCACCATCTTTCTTGCAATCACTTCTGAATGCCTGTTTAAAATTTCACTTACCAAAGCTTATTTTTAATGAGCGCTCTGAATAATTAATTTCAGTTGTAGAGATAAATGCAATAAAATTACATTTATGAAGTCCTTAGGATTTTGCTCATATAAAGTTTATATTTGAACAGTCTTAGCACTAAAAATTGGCATGAAATAAGGAAGAAGTTGGGGGCACCCCCTCCCCTTTTTTTTTTTTAAGGAACATTCATTTTAAGGAAGAAAATCTAAAGAGTTAGCTGGATGGCATATAGCTAAATAAAGCAAATTTAGAAAATTTAGAATAAGAAAATACTTTTATACAACCCACCAGCATAGATTTATCCCCTCTTCAATGTACCAGTGCATATTCAAGCTTGCTTAATTCAATGCAGAAACATTTTCTTCAATTTTATCCCTAAAGAAACATCCATGAAAGCACTGGCTCCTCTCTAATTAACTTTTCCTGGTTAGTAGAGTGGGTTATTGACAGGAAAAATCCACCTTCACAGTTGTTTGGGGAGGAGCCACTAACTAAGCATACTATTTTAATGACACACATTTCCCTCGCTATAAAGCACAAAGGCAAAACCAGAGACCACATACACAAGGAAAACCTCTGTAACAAGCCACAGCTACCACCAAATGGTCCATCAATTATTTTACATTTGGAAATGAACTGTTATCAAGCTGTAAGGACTCAAGGAAGCTATACGGCAGTTTGGAGAGAAATGAGTCACACAGAAAGCACAGTGGTAGAGAACAGCTACAGTAAGCATTTGGAAATGTTCACCACAGCACAACAAATCTACAGCCACCAATTAAGCTTTCTCTGTGATTAACCTGGCTCAGTAGGAACTCTACATCCAGGTTGAAATTAACCTAGTGAAGTTTCTATCTTTTACCAGAAATCATTAAATTTGGATAAAAGATGATTTCTGTTTTCTGTATCTACTAACACAAAGACTCCAGTAAAACTCACTCAATTCTTTTTCAGTCTTAAAGGAGAAGGAATTTATTATGTTTCATGCTTAATTCCTGAAGAACAATGCTTTCAAAAGCAGTCTGTATGAGGAAGAGGAGGTAACCTTTCCATTCAAAACATAATAAATGTTAACCAAGAAACTACACTTCTGGTCCATGCCCTACATGGAACAAGAATGGCTACAGAATTTGCTGACAAATTCTGTCTGTGAGGCATCATAAAGCAGAAATTTTGCAGAGTTGATGCTGTAAAACATAAGCAAGTACTTAGCTGGAAGAAAATAACAATTGGGACCAACACAAAAAAGGCACCATTATGCTTGAAAAAGGAGAGTTTCACAGGATTGTCTTAGACTCCAACTTGTACACAGGAGAAACCGATATCCACAAGATTCCCTGCAGATATGGGAATGTAATTCCCATCAACTTTCCTGTGAGATGTTTTATTCTCCGTTTGCAGATTTATTTATTTTTAAGAAACAACAATAAGAAATCTGCTGAACATACATGAAACTAAACAAGGAATTTATGTGAAGTCCAAATATTTGGATAACCTGACAAAATCCATCAAGGAAATCATTAAAACTTATTACAGCCTAATGCATCCTCATACTGGATTATTCTAATTTCTTTTTTCAGTCTGTACATCTCATCCTGAAGGTGAACCAACTTTGAACATTACTATGTACTAGAATACAGAAAACAAAAATCACAAAGGAGGAGGAAAGCTTCTGACATTCACTCAGATCTGAAATTAAGCAATTCTTTCTACAAGTGCTGCCAGTACTATACTCACAGAGAAGATGGAAAGAAAATATTAAGAGGGGTCAGGAGGAGTGCTTCAGAAACCCAGTGTTGTTGCACAGGCTCAGAACTTTCCATTTGTGTTCACATATTCCTTTCCCCATAAGCATTAGAACTTGGAGACTGGTTCTGCAATTTGCCTATTCTTGGACACCGCTTCATAAAAAATTTAAATGCATGCAACCTACAGATATTCTTATATTTGGGAAATTTTTTTTAAATGCAGTTTACTTAATAATCTATTAAATTACAGGTGAAAATATTTATAAGAAATAAACACACCAGGTAATGATTTTCAAGCATGCATATTTAGCCTCTGATAGGTTTTTTTGAAATATAAAAGGACAGCCTATATTTTATATAAGAAAACTGCTGCCAAAGGTAATATGTAGTATGGAAAACGTGTGAGTCACAGATATGATCATTAGTCTTACCTCTTGGTTTTTCATTGCCAATAACCTGTCAATCACACAGAACGTAGCCAATGGCATAAAAGAATTTTTGGCAATACCACGACCATCATCTCCTCTTCCCAGAAGAGGTTTTCATTTAGACAGAGAGAATTTAGACAGAGAGAAAAATAAAGCAAGAGGAACTAACTGACATTTCTATCTTTCACAAGGTACACGATCAAAAGCGTTTCTCCAAATGGATGAAAACTACTTGTGGAAAAACTCGGACTGAAATTTTCAGACAAGAAGTTATTCTTCTTGTTTTCCTAGACACACTAATATAGGCCAGTTAATGGAATATTTATAGCAGCACTCAACCCATTAAAAAGAAAAAAGAAGAGAGTCCTCCGTTTCTGAGCCTTCTTTGTGCATGTGAACATCTGCAAATAGGGAGAGTAAGAGCTCGGAGACAGAGCTCAGCTCAGAGACATTCAGGAGGTCGCCCCAACATGAACTGCTATCCCCTGCCTATATAATACTTTGTGGTCACCCCAACACCCACACAGGGAGCACTGCTTATCTGGACGGCAGGGCTCCTGAGGATATCATTCTTATCTTCCTCTAGCGTACATATTAGAAGGAGATGCAGAAAGAGGAGATCAGGAAGGCAGGAGTTGAGCGTTACTGCTGGCAGACTGCTTGTACTAAAGGTCTCCAGCCAAACACAGCCTTAAGGAAAGCAAGTCAGGGAAAGAGACCTTGACCTCCAGTATTTTCCAGTTTACTGCTGGGGATGAATGTGAAGAGTTAAATTCATGTTGGGGCAGGGCTCTGGAGAAATATTACAATTAGCCCTACTATGAAGAAAGCCTAAACATTTTTCAAATTATATAGAAAAATACCATTTTAGAATTG